CTCCAATTTCAATAAGGTTCGTCCTTGTGCCAAACAAATGATTTGTGCATCTGGATAGGACAATAAATGCGAACTGTACTTTGTTTACAAAAATACATGGACAGAGGGACGGACGGACATGCATAAGTCGACTCAGAATGTGATTCTATGCAGATCATCAAAAGGAACTATGGGTCTATCTCGTTTCCTTCTGCTTGTTACAAACAAATGCACAAAGACATAATACCCTGACCACCTTGTGGTGTAGGGTATAAAAAACGCATTTATTGTATACAATACTAGCAAGTGCCCTCTACTCCGCATGCGGAATAAGGAATTAAGTTATAAATTGAATGAATAATTTCCACCTCCCAATCAACCCTAATGTTAAAGTTGAGACTTCAAGCACTATCCCACATATAACAAAATCACCTCCTTATATCAACACTATTTTTCAAATTTGATTTTCATATCAAATTTCAGGGTTCAATGGTACCAAATGTATTGTACATTAGTTCTTCTGGTACGCATGTTTTTAAAATTTCGAAAAATACTTTAGTTTGTTTATCCTACGCAACATCAAGAATTCTCACTCCAACTTTCTTGCTCTATTTCTTCACCATGTACCAATGTTATAACTATTTAATAGCTTCCGTACTTTATCAAACAATTCGCACAAAAGGTGATCCTAATTCCAATTTTAGACTTCCAACTAAATTCCTTAGCCAAATACAAAATTTAGTACCACTTTTTAGTACGTAATTCCAAAACCACTTCATATCTCAAACTTACACCCCAACATCGATCACAATTAAAATTTCATTGCCATTAATACCTTTCATACACCTACGGTACATATTTCCAATGCCAGCTCCATATCTCAACACTATACACTAATTCTGACCCAAACGCCAAAAAGAATCTAACTAAACTAAATTTTGTACCCTTCTTACCTTTTGTACTCTTGTAGTACTTATTTCAAAAAATAATTCCAAATTTCAAAACTCCAGGTTCACAGGTTCACCTAAATCCAATTTATAACAAATTTAGTATCAAATTTAGTATCAACTCAACCCTAAAAAAAGTAATCTTATTTCCAAATTTCGAGATTCCAGCCCTTTCGGTTCACACACACCCAAATTGTACGAAATTTAGTACATATAAGCATGAGTTTATACCTCTGTATCTCAATCATACCATCCACAGAAATATTATTCTAAATTTTCAGCTCTACACAATTTCAACTTGTACCAAATTTAGTTCCATTTAATATACATAAGTACACATTTCAATAACAACCTGCATCATACAATCCCATAAAAATCTTACTACCCATTTTCAAGATTCCAGCCATATCGGTTCACCCAAATCCAAATTTAGTAGTATATAGTGCACTATAGTACTATATAGTACTAATTTTGAAAAATTATCTACATTTCTCAGTCCTAGAATGCCATAGAAATCCTATTTCCAATTGTGCCAAGTTTGATACCATTTCGTACACATAAGTACAAATTTCCAAAACCAAAAAGTAATCTTATTTCAAATTTAAGAATTCCGACTTTATCGGTTCACCGAAATCCAAATTGTACCAAATTTAGTGCCGTTCCTGCATATAAGTACAAATTTTGGAAATTAAGTACATACCCCAACCCTACAGGCCAGTAATGTTAATATCAAATTTAAGGACTTTGGCTCCACCCCTTCTTCCTAATTGCAATTGTACCAAATTTAGTACCGTTTAGTACATTTCGTATTAATGAGTACACACTCCCAAAACTACCTCACTACATCGACCCCAATCCTCAACCTCCATTTCCATTCCAAATTTCAAGTTTTTAGCTCTAACCGTTCACATAATACGAAATCGTACCAAATGTAGTACTTTTCGTACACTTGTAGTGCGAATTTCCAAAATCCATTTGGTACATCCATCACTAACTCCATCACTCCAGCGACCCTTATTCCAAATTAAAGAGTTTTAGCTATACTGGTTCGTCAAATACAAAGGGTATCATATACAGTATCTTTTAGTACTTTTCGTAACATTCTAGTACTAATTTCCAAAAACCCTGCCTTATCTCACCCCTTCGGACCAAGAGCTCAAAATTTCAGGATTTTAGCTTTAGCCGTTTCGTCTGGGCGTTGATGAATCATTAAGTCAGTCAGTCAGTCAGTCAATTACTTTACTCTTTTATTAATATAGATTTTTTGCTTTTCCTTCAGGAGCGTAAACAAAGAGATTGCAGGGTGTACCCTCACGTGAACATCCCTTTTACAGCTGAGCATGAAGAAACCAGGAACATGCTAAATTTACTCCTCACACACGAAAAACTTGACCTTGGGATTTATTGCATGCCAAGCGAAAAGGAAACTGCAATTTTTAAGTTGGACGGCATTTTTGTTGCTTTTAGAGAGATTCGATGTAGCAATACAATTGAACCTACATACTTCCTCGTAATAATTGTAGACTCAATTAAATTGTTGTGTAGTTTTTTACTGTTAGCCTGGTAACATGGCAAAAGCTTGGTGAGCCAATGTTCCATGATAAATGTAATATCCGAATCGAATGTAGAAATTAACAACATTTATTTTTAGACCAAATTCCATCAAATTCACATTCCAAACTTCATTGAAATTTTACATAAACAAGGAGTTTGATGCATAAAATACGCGAAATCGGCCGAAAATATACATAGGAGACATATCCAAATCTAGACCGATTTCAATTTGGAATAAATTCTTTTAGTAGCATATGGATTCATTGTATCCGGTCAAAAGGGTCCACAGAAACTTTACACAAGATTTTAGTGGCATAAGGTATGACATGGTTGGGCCTATCCGACTAAAGGGTGAGATAAAAAAACTGCAACAAAATCAAACGCCGTAATTTTATTTTTTTTTTCAAATGTTATTGAATGAAAGCAAATGTCGGAAACATCAAATTTTAGAATCTATATACATAAAAATCAATTGTTGTTCGTTGGCAATGGAATGCATAATTTTTTGTACAAACGTTCATCATAAACCGAGTTAGGTTTTTAAAGAAAAAAATATTGACCGCGCCTACTTTTACGCCCACAATCTTGATTTATCTCAAATCTTTATATTCGCCAGATAATGAAGATATCGGTTTGAAAATTATTGCACGAGATACTGTTGACTTTCCCTCCAACCCTAGGGATTTATTTGGGGGCTGAGGAACTGACCACGCATACTTCTAATCCATCTATATATGTAAATCAAATAAAGTTGTGTTAATTGCTACGCTTATAGCTCAAGAACCGCTGATCACACAAAATCGGAATTGTCTCTTGGAAGAAATAGATAAAATCCAAAAAATCGCGTAACAATGTGAAATTTGAAAATTTCATTTGAGGTAATGTAATGTTTTATTTTGCACGATTTTTTCCATTGTAACTTACTATTTTGGAATGTACATTTGTGTTTTTTTTTTTTTTTTTGAATTCTAATATGATGTGTCTTTTTGCGTAGTATAAAGTGACGACAATTATGGAGTGGCGGACCTAAATAGATGATGTCAAAATAATTTAACGTGGTCAAACCAAAGTTCAAAGATTATTACTTTTTTCAAAATTGCTAAAAAATCAAAAAAAAAGAGCCTATTGCATTGCAAAAACTCTAAAATCGGAAAAAAATAGAGAACATTTTTTGAATGGAATCAAATTTCAAAATAATAGTAAGGACCAAACTTCGTAAGGACCTTTAAACATTCGCTGTAAAAAACCTGCGAACAAGTTGAAGATTTTTTTTCAATTTGTTTATTAGTTACTATGCTTATAACTCAAGAACGTTCTGACGGATTTTCACAATTCATACAACTTTGGAATGGAATCTTGGGAAAAAATTGCGTAAAATATGCCAATAAAAATATAAAAGAAAAAATCCTTTTGGCGTGAAATTTTTTCAATTTAAAAACTATATAGAAGTGTACATTTTTTATTGTTTTGAATTCTGAATGAATAATATCAAAAATTAAATAGTACGCAATACGATGTTAAATAGCGATCTTTCATGTCTGAAATTGGAATTTAGCTTTCAACTCCAGGATCTACATTGAGCTCGAAGAGCAAAACGTTATGGGGCTCATTTCAAAACGGGGACCTACCTACTTCTGTCACATGACAATAATCCCTCCAATGAGAACTCAATATGCAAAATTCATTGGGACTGAGATCAGTGTAATACCGAATAAAAAGGGCGCAAAAAAGAAGAGGGAAAAGGATTTATATTCTTTCAGAAATTCTTCCTAAACTTTCACGATACCTTAAATCGCTTTTGCAGTTCATGATATTGGTCATAACACCCGGATAAGGATACAATCCGATTTCAAGTATATCATACATTTCAAACATATTTTCATACTAATTTCGGCAATTTGGGAAGAAACCATCCTTGCAAAAAATGATCACGTTTTGTATAACAATCATATGATTTAAGGAACCGGACATTTGTTTAATCGACTATGATAAAAGATATGGACATTATGGGGTCTCCAACGCGCAATTTCAATGACAAGCAAGTAAAAAAATAAGTTCGGCCGGGCAGAACTATTAACTATTAGGTTAACTTAGTTAAAGTTAACTTACCAAAAAACCATAAAGTGAATGAGGCCGTTATATGGGACTATACCAAAACGGAAACCTCTGTTGACCATTTTATACTTCAAGCATTGCCATCTATCAAACCTTCTAAGATACCAAATTTGAAACAATTATGTGGGTAAATGTGACGAGCTACTGTTGTAAACAATCGAATGGAAATTGTTAGAACGTCTACAAGAGGCTTGTTAACATTGTGTGAAAACACCTAACCTCGATTGGACAAGGAACTATTTGCTATCTAGAGTACCACTTCAATATTACATTGGCGAGGTATTTGCATTGGAAATGACTTTGAGAATTCTCACTTGACGTCAAGTCGTTAAAATTGTCATTTGTTTTATTTTTTTTTTTAACTTGGGTCCCCAAAGGTTTAATTAACTTTCTATCGGAACTTACCATTTTTTCGACTATCACCGTTGTCATCGACAAAGACGACATTATCGTTGCCATTGCTTTCGTTCCATTTGTTGCGACTGTCGATTAGGAACTGCTGTATGGTCACCGGACCCTCGTAGAAGTGCTTGTCGCCAATGGTGACATCGGTGGAGCTGCTAATGGCAACCTGCGGCCGAATAGAGGAACTCGCTGCCACTTGCCTATGGGGATGTAGCACCGCCACATTGTCACACATATTCTTGATGATGTCCAGCGGTGATGCTGGCGACGGTCCCATGCCGTTGGGAGTTATTTTCTGGTCCACCACCTTGAGGCCGTCGTTGATGACCGGAATATCAGGATGTTTCGGCGGGTATGTCACTTGAGTGCCCAACTTTTTTATCACATAGTTTTTGTGTTCACCTTCGAGATTGCCATTCTCATCGGAATCACTGTCACTGGAATCAATGACACTGGAGTCGATGCTTCGCATCGAAACCACCGGCGATCCGTTGTGGTGGTAATGGTGGTTATGAAAGGGCGGGTTTTCCGACACATCCGAATCCGATGAGGACACAACGGACGACGTTGACGGCGAGGGGACACGAGGTGGGACACTAAATAGTGTCGCCTTGCCTATAGCTCTCGCTCCCTTGTCTGCGGTCACGTCTGACGCCTCTGTTCCGTTCGTGGAAGCGGGGGCATTGCTATTTATCACATTTTCGATTTTAATGGCATTTGGATTGCTGGGCGACAAAGCACCACCACAACTGTTGTCGTTGCTACTGTTTATTCTTAACTGCTCTCCACTTCGAGACTCATTGTCGAAAGTGTTAGTACCACCCCTCCTCCCCTCAGCGTCTGCGCCAGCAATGTTCCAACTTTGCCCAATGTTTTTGTTGTTGGTATTTTTTGTGTTATCACTGGGTGCAAAACTGGGTGAATTGTTGTTGTTATAGTTTTGTTGAGACTGTTTTCGGTATGGAGTGTATGTTATTGCCGTCGATGTTGTTGACGCTGCGTTCGAGCTAGAGATGGCTGTTGGCATTTGTTTTGATAGCTGCTGTGAGTTGGGCAGGGGCGATGGTGGAGATGTGGTTTCATTATCGCTTATATTTACACCAGAGTCTGTGGAAGACGTAGAAGATCCGCCGAACTTTTCCGTGTCTGTTGCCTGCAGCAGGGTTTTTATCTCATGGTCACATCCGTTCGATGCCAGTGATATGGTCCTATCAGAGTTCTTGGTAAAGTCAACATCTGAAATTTGGTGGGTATTTTGTTGTGGTGGTTGTTGTTGTTGTTGATGCTGCTCTTGCTGTTGATGTTTCTGTTTGAGTTGATTAAAATGCATTTTCTACTGCGCGAAACTCTCGTTTTACACAAAAGGCCTGTTGGATGTCGTCTCCGCCTATCATCATAATATCATTGTGAGTAAACGATCTGCAAATAGAAATAAAAATGGAATTCTTAGTAAATTCAATGTGGTATGAGCAGTATTTGTCAAGAAGATGAAAGTCAATTTTTCTCCAAATGTAAAAAAAATGTAAAAAAAAACTACTAGCAGCCCGCAGTCTCTAATATTTACGTTTGACAATTTTTTTCAAAAAATCCATAAGATAACCATAATCTGATTTTAAGGTTGTCCAGATGGCCGCACAAGTAGTGAACAGAAGAATGCGTAAACAATTTTTCATGTCTGTCAAGATAAATTTAAATTTAACCAGTAAAGAAAGACTTAAAGTCGGGCGGGCCGACTTTATAATACCCTACACCACTTTGCTAATTTAGTAGAGCTCAGCATAACAATTAAAAGTTTTTATGGGAGAATTCGATCATACACGCTATGATTATAATTATAATTTAAAGTTCAAAGGACTAAATATGCCGAAACATTTGTATCTTCTAAATATTGCCCATTTGGTGCACAATTAATTTGAAATCGGATAAAGATATATATGGGAGCTATATCCAAATCGGAACCGACCTCGATAAAATTTGACAAAGATATTTCTGAGCTCTATTTGATACATTTCCCTGAATATCGTTGTTACGGAGTGCATATTATCAGATGAACAGTATATATGGGACCTATAGCTATATCTGAACCGATCTTTACCAAATTTGACATACTAGACACAATTCGGTCGTAAGTGCCAAAATCCATTCCATTTGGACAAATATTAGACGTTTGGTGCACAATAAAAGGTAAATCGGACGAAGGTTTATTGGGAGCTATATCCAAATCTGAACCGATCTCGATAAAATTTAGCAAATGTATTTCTGAGATGTATTTAATATATTTCCCCAAATATTGTTGTTACAGAGTGCATATTACGGCTGCGGAGGACAAAAGTAACAAATCGGATGAACAATATATATGGGAGCTATAGCTATATCTGAACCGATTTCGATCAATTTTGACATACCTTTTTTCAGGCCTAATTTGGTTGTATGTGCAAAATTCCATACTATTCGGGCTGATATTTCACGTTTGGTGCACAATAAAAGGCAAATCGGACGAAGATATATATGGGATCTATATCTAAATTTTTACCGATTATCTCCAATTTCAATAGGGTTTGTCCTTGGGCCAAACAAATATTGTTTGGAAAATTTTATCGCAATCGGATAATAAATGCGACCTGCGACCTACGGACGGACGGACTGACATGCATAAATCAACTCAGAAAGTGATTCTATGTAGATCCTCAAAAGTAACTATGGCTCTATCTCGCTTCCTTCGCCATGTTACAAACAAATGCACAAAGACATAATACCCTTACCACTATGGGGTGTAGGGTATAATTAGCAAAGGCACAAACCAAGATGATTTTTTCTCCGGTTTAGAAAGGTTTAATAGAGAGTGAGAGAGAGGTAGGAAACCAGACAAAAATTAAAGATATTTTAATTTATTTTAGTTTTTATCAAATTTCAAATGTACAAAGAACTCGCTAAATAAAAACGATTTTGTTAACAATTATAAAATTTGGAACCCTTAACTGTACATTTAAACCCAGAATATAGAATTTAAAAATGAAGCGGTGTAGAGGCTGGGCACAAATGAAAGGGTACTCTTCGAATATATAGACTTTATAGCAAAAAAATTCCATTGAACAGAAGCGGTGTTGAGCACAAATGAAAGGTCTCAAGGAGTACTTTTCATACTTAGGAATTTTTCGAATTTTCTGACATCTATTTTTTTAGGATGGATTTTAGCCCATATAAACAAATTCAGGCTAGGAACAAGTGTGTCAAATTTGGTGGAAATCGGTTTAGAAATAGTTAAAGCTCCCATATATATTCTTCATCCGATTTGTTAAAATTCTCTTCCACTGCCGTAGTAAGCACTCCGTAACAACGATATACAAGTAAATATATATTAAATACAGCTCAGCAATACTTTGGCCAAATTTTATCGGTATCGGTTCAGATTTGGATATGACTCTCATATACAGGGTGAGATAATAAAACTGCAGGAAAGTCAAACGCCCTAATTTTTATTATTTATTTTACTCCCGGCTTGCGCTTGCTTGAGGTGATCGGCACATTGGTATTTTTAGTGCCAACCTTGCTTACATCCTCCAGAATATTTTTGCGATAATATTCGGCATTTATTCTGATGCCACGGTCGATTAATACGAGCGGAGAGCGACCATCGGCTCTTACCATCCCCACACCATCACCATGGCCGGCGCTTGAGTTCTGGTGGCCAACCTAAGAAGCTCATTTTCAGCTGACCTCTTTGGCAAGAAAACACGATCATTTTGTTCGTTTAAAAACTGCTGAACAACGAATATTTTCTCATCGGAGAAAACCAAATTCGGCAGTTCACCACTTTCGGCCGAGCGAAGCAACTCTTTAGTTCTTTTGAGTCTATTTTCTTTCTGTTGCGATGTAAGTTTTGCACTTTTTGGAAACTCAATGGCTCATTCTTCAATATTTTCCGAATGGAATATTGCGATTTGTTCAGCTCTCGATCCATTTTTCGGCCATTGCGACGCGGGTTTCGATCAAGTCACTTCTTTACTTTTCCAACAATTTCTGCTGATGTTGCTGTTTTCTTTCGTCCACTTCCTTGACGTGGTACGAGACACAAAAGATTTATTCACATTTAAATATATATTAAATGTATATCTCTACTCGATTTCAAGTTTATTCTGCACCAAATGTTTAATATAAGCCCGAATTGAATGGATTTTGGCACATAGGCACGAATTTAGCCTGAAAGAAAGTGAGTCAAATTTGGTGAAAATCGGCTAAGATATTATCTTAAATAGGATGGATTTTGAAGAATATCGGTTCAGACACAAATGCCTCCGTCAAATTTGGAAGAATGCAATAGAAAACCGTCATCTATTAGTCCCTTTCCGCTTTAAACGATCTTATGTAATTGATGTGTTTTAATTCTCATAAATTCCCCACAAAAACGTTTATTTATTGTAAAGTGAAATCGGTTGGTAAAAGGTCTTAAGAATTTCGTTAATTCAATGGTACGGGTGTCCGGCCAAAGTGGTTGTCAAAGTATTAAATACCAAATAAAATAAGATCTGCTAAAAAATGTGGCTAAAATCACGAAAATACCAAATTTTAGATGGTGTCGCCTCATCAAAATATGGAATATTGGGATATACGAAGACGTGGATTTGTATGGGCAAATTTCTGTAATAGGAAGCAGTACCCACTGCAATTTAAAAATTCCTAATTTTAAATAATTCTGGTGAAAGTGTGGCTAAAATTCTCCACCATATTATGGAGGGTATATTAACATTGAAATTCCTTTTATAACTACTCGAAATACTCATACATACTCATGTATATGTATTCTTGATTATCGTAAACATCTAATTCTTCTCTGACAGATAGTTACACGTTTTCCTATAGGATGTCACACCTGACATTTTGAATTTTTAAAATTGTGGCGGCATTTTTCAACGTGTCCTTTTTTACATTTTCCAAGTTCCTTCCAAATGGTGAAAGCTATTTACATTTCGGTATATTCTTCTTCTAAAAGCAAGGGATTTTAGAAGGATCGGTGGCTCTTTTTGAAACCATGGTATTCCCTGCCTTACTGCCTTGTAAACATTGTGATATTTCTCCTTTAATAAACAAACCTTGTTTTCATAAGTACATATATGTGTTTGCGTTCTGGTAATCTGGTTCCAGCTCCAGGTTCAGAAATTCGGCTACTTTAACGGGCTGTAGCCAGAGATCTTCTGGAGTGAGTTGGATAGGTTTGGCTGTGCAATTAAAGAGGTGTAGCGTATTGTGCGGGCCTGTATCGCACGCCGGGCAGGCGTCACGCACATCTTCATCAATTCGTGCCCAATACGAATGGAGACGACTACGCCATCCTGAACGTAATTGCGCCAAAACTACCCTGGTTTGTCTAGGCAACTGACGTTCTTCAGCTGCAATGGATGGGGGGTGGACTCCGAGGACGGCATTAACTTTAAAACTGCTAATAGCATCCGCGACTGCATCGGTGTGAATGCCACTCAGACCTGCCTAATAGGCTTCTTGATCTAGAGGTTCTCTCTTATAGCGCTGGAAAAAAAATCCCACGGCAGCGGGTTCTACGATACCGGATTGACCCGAAACAACAAGATCCCAGTTTCGGCCAGCGGCTGCCAACCCAGTATATACATGTACAAAAAAAATGGTATTAAGTCTGACTATTTTTAATAGCAAAAAAATAATAGTCAAATGTTAAGTAAGCCATTGTAGTTTTACTACCATTGTCTGGCGTTGTTATTGCCCTGATTATTTCTGGCCATTGCATGATCTCTTCCCCGTAAACGAAATCTTATGGGATGATACTTATATTATAGACATCATATGACATATCATTGAAGAAGTCTTCTATGTTTTATACATTTTATTTATTATAAATGCATAGGTAGGAGGTATTTGTATAAAAACAAATAAGGTCGAATACGACGGAATTTGCCTCTTGAATCAAAACTTACGGACTGCAGACTAAACAAGAAAACAAACAAAAATACAACAAAGAACTTATTGCGGGCTACAACTCCGTGTTGATGTTAAAAATAACAAACATTTCCCAACTCATTGCCAGTGCATTGCCTTTTGTTGTGTCGTTTTGGACCGAATTCTGGGAAATGATAAGAAAAGCGAACGGCACAATGACAGTGATTGTTAATGCGATTAAATGGAGAAATGTCACAATGGACAATACAATTCAGAATTCTTACAAAATGGGCTTGCAGAATTTAACACCCTGTAAATGCTACAATAAAACGGTGTTACATAGCTACCAGCTGATTGTTATTTTATCTGAGTGTTCCTGACTTCTGCTGCATTTGAGATTTTGTATTTATTGCAGAACACACATAGAAGAAAATCCAGGCATTATCGAAATGGTTGCATGTGCGTATGATTTTATTCACCACAAAAGTTAGATAAGTGTTGCCCGAATACTC